CCCCCCCCCCCCCCACCCAATCCTTCCAGCCTATTCTTCCTTCTTTTTTATTCCAGCTTTTTGCTGACCGTGATTTAGATACTTCATTTCCCACCATCAGGCGAAGGCGTTCGAATCCGTCTTTGGTGGTGTGACCTGTCTGCCGGGATGTTTCTCCATGTACCGGATCAAGGCGCCCAAGGGAGGCCAGAACTACTGGGTCCCGATCTTGGCTAACCCCGACATTGTGGAGCACTACTCGGAGAATGTGGTCGACACGCTGCACAAGAAGAACCTGCTTCTGCTGGGTGAGGATCGGTACCTGACGACCCTCATGCTCAAGACGTTCCCCAAGCGGAAGCAGGTCTTCGTGCCGCAGGCGGTCTGTAAGACCACCGTGCCGGACAAGTTCAAGGTGCTTCTCTCGCAGCGTCGTCGGTGGATCAACAGTACCGTCCACAACCTCTTCGAACTGGTGCTGGTGCGGGATCTGTGCGGCACGTTTTGCTTCAGCATGCAGTTTGTCGTTTTCATCGAGCTCGTTGGCACGCTGGTCTTGCCCGCGGCTATCAGTTTCACCTTCTATGTCGTGATTATCTCCATTATCCGACAGCCGGTCCAAGTCATTCCGCTGGTGCTTCTGGCCCTCATCCTTGGTCTGCCCGGTGTGTTGATAGTCGTGACGGCCCATCGGTTGGTCTATGTCGTGTGGATGTTGATCTACTTGGTCTCGTTGCCCATCTGGAACTTTGTCCTCCCGACGTACGCCTACTGGAAATTTGACGATTTCACATGGGGTGACACGCGGCAGACGACAGGAGACAAGGCGAGTAAGGGAGGTCATGGTGATGGTGAGGGTGAATTCGATAGCAGCAAGATTACCATGAAGCGATGGCGTGACTTTGAAAGGGGTACGTACGGGACGAGTCCTCTCTCATCTGCTTTTCATTTTTTTTTTTTGAAACCGCTTTACTGACACCCTTTTCTCTGTGCAGAACGACGTCTCAAGAACAATGCGGCGCAGTGGTCGCAGCAACCCACGTCCGGTGGCGGGTATCCGTCATATCAGGGCGGTTACGAGGGCTATTCGGACTACTAGTCGAGAACCTCTTCCTCGCGCCGTTTTCTTGTATCTTTTCTGGACATATCCTTTATATCATCTTTTCTTGATATGATATTGCATGTCTGGTACCATTTTGTATCTTTTGTCGCGGAATGCTGGGAGTGTGCTAACCAAAACAAAAATCTATCACGGGCGGAGTTTCTTCTTTGATGACGGACTGTCGTGCTTGCAAGAGCGTATCTGAAGACAGCCTTTTTATCCTGTTTTTGCTTGGGGACATATTATTTGTTGGGCATTTTATTTTTATTTTTTTCCCTTTCCGATTCGACTCGACGTTGATGTCTAATATTGCCCCCCTTCGTGTTTCCCTTCGTATTCTTTTTTCCGCTGTACATCTCTTGTGATGAACATTGGTATCTAGCTCCAGCACCCTAATATATTGTATCATTGCATGCCTTAGACTATGTCTAGTAGACTAGATATCAGTCAATGCAATCTCCATGATACGCCACAGGTCTCTCGGGGTCCCCGATGTCAACGTTGCAAGCATCCTGCCCCATATTGCTTTTTTGCTGTCCTCTTTGTGACTTGTCACATGGAGCTGTCGTCTGAGAATTGCTCCCATTGGCTGAGCCTGGCAGCACAGCTGGCGGCCATTCCGTTTCGATCGCCGGCTGCAGGCGCGATGGAGCATTTGCGTCTGGAGGAGGTGAAGCTATGACTTCTGCGATCATCGTGATACAATTTTTATCAGTTGTTATTTTTTCCGAGACAACGGCCTTGGCATCGATCCTGCTTGTTCTTTCCGGCATGCCCATCTGTACTCCAAACTGGCAGGCGGTCGCTGCTCTGGTCCCCGGCATAGGAAACCGCTTCCACCTGGGGTTGGCTTGGTGCGTGCACCTGCCTAGAGGGGTTAGGAGGCAGCGTGCCAGCAGGGAATACCATGCCAGATCCTCGTCCGGCGTAATTAGTATTATTAGTTCGATTCTTCTGCTGCTTCGAGTCTTCGTCTGCCCGACAGCGCATCTCCAGCCCTCCAGAGCGGAGACGGGCGTTGAAGGTTATTTGGCGACCGATCTTCCCCACTCGTGACCGCCCGAGATCCATCCATCAACTCCCTTCCCCCATATCTGCCCGCATGACAGATATCAGCTCCCCTATCTCTCGGCAGTACTCTTGGACAGGGGATCATTACGACCGGGCCCGGCTCTCGATGCTCCGTCTGCATTGGAATTTATTTATTTATGGAGTATCTCCTGGCTCTTCCCGCCCTCCCTGCCTGTGACTGCATCGGGATTCGCTGCGCGCTCGCACCCTTGACCTCGCGTCCACTGGAGCCATTAATCCCCTCGAGGCCTTCCTGGACCCTGCGCCATCTGATCCGTCAGAAATTTCTGTCTGGCGATTGGATTATTCCTGGTCGGTCTTTTCTCTCCGTCGCCGTGTCCATCGCCAGCCCGCTGTCAGCCGCACTCTGCATCTCGCCCATTTCTGCAGTAATTTATTTACATTTCTCATCTCTCCTCGCTACAGACTCTGTAAGTCGCCATGAATAATCGTGCTGCACTGTCTCGATGCCCCTCTGAACCCAGACCATTACATTGTTCCCCCCCACATGCGTCCCGCCGGCAGCCGTCATTACTCGCTGTCCGTCTGCCCCGCGCGGAGGGAGAAGCTGCTCGACAGCGGGCAGGCTATCGGAGCATGGGACACCGACGCCGCGTTCCAGCTAAGACGCCCGTCAGCGACTGTCGCTTACCGCTATGATATCCCCGAATCGTTCGTATCGTATTGTTTCATTTCTTATTTGCTTTTCCTGACCAGACTGGCCTTTCACATGGGATTCCCCTTCACCTTACGTTCCCTCGAATGAGCGGTGATACGACAATGCGGCTGGTGTTATTTGTTTTTCTTCTAGATGGATCTTGAGCTAATGATATCGTCTTGCACTTAGTCTTCGTTGCCTGCTTCCAGGAATTGCGCGGGGGATAATCCTCGCTCCTTGTCGACGTACCCTGACAGCTTCCGTGCAGGCTGGCTGAGTCGATCAAGCATCACACTGACCGCCTCATAACCCGGCCATCCTCCCTACGTTATTGGGCTGCCTCTGAACGCTTAGGGTCAGCGTTGTACGACAACCTGCCCAGGCCTGCTGCTGCGTGCTCTTACCGAAGCTGCTCTCGAGAGGTTCGATTGGAGCTTGTAGTGGCATACCGCGTATCTTGGGAGCCTTGACCTGGCCTCTGTCGTCCATTCGACACCAGCACAAAAAGCTCCCTCTGATCGGTCCCGATCGGATTTCATTCGTGACTCGCTAACGCAGGGAATCCACTGCATCGGGGCATAGCTTGTGGAGGCAGCCGTAGCTGCAGCGGATGCCAATTAACTGAAGTGGCAGGATCCCTGTTCACGATCGTCAGTGTGTCGCCCCACTCGGATTATTCTACGCTCTAAAAGTCCTTGGCCGAGAACATCGTGGTTGGATCGGGCCGTTATTTGGAGTCGGCAACCAGCAGCAATAATATCTGGATTCTGGCCGCCGCTGTTGGGTCTACCAGAAACATTCCGGGATCAAGATCCGCCTGTCTCGTGCTTGACCCCAGCACGCGGTGAACTCTTTTCTGGAAGAAAAAAGAAACGTAGGGGTACAATGGAGCGTTGTGTCTGGGGCCGATCGAACCGAACGGTGATGGGGAGAGCGTGAATCGAGGATCTGTCCCGGTTTAGCCTTCCACATATCCGATCTACAATTCCACTCTACTTTGATATTACACAGAAACTGTGGTCAGCATCGAATCGTCTGCGAAGAGGTCTTTCCATTGTGCCGTTGCAAATGACGGAGTCGTTAGGATCGGGTTTTGACCGCATTCGTGCGGCTCTCATGTCACCCACGAATATTGAATCTCACATACCATCTTCGCCTTCTACAGGACGCTCCCCGGACAACTCAGAACCCGTGGATGAAATCCCGTTTGGTGCGAATACTCCGGACTCGTCCGAGCCACCGGAGATGGGACCGAGCACCCATATTATACATGGCACGCTCGATGAAGCGCCACGTTTCGCAGTCCCACACGGTACATACGTCACTACGCCGCAAGAGGTGGACTCGTCAGTCACTGGAGCTCCTATGGCTGCATCAGCGGAGCGGTTTGGCTCCGATTCGGAGATGGCTGAGGGCCCCGAACTAGGACAAGCCGCCGGGTTCACTGTCTACATGAACGGTAGTGCCGATCTGGAATCTTTTCTGGCCCATCTGGCTCAAAGCACGCATGGTGGGAACAACGTTGCTATATCTGACGATACAGAAAATGAAAATGGCGGCGGACTCATTCAGGATTGTGATTCCCTGATTTATGATACGCCGTCACCTTTCGTCGACTCGGAGGATGACGGCAGCGACCCTGATGACACGAGGAAGTTCTATTTAGGAGACGACGATTACGATATGGATGAGGCAAGATGGTTTCACGACAGGCTGCAGATGGACAATCGCGATGCTTACCGACACGTTGGCTATCAGCCAATGTTCCAACGCTCCGACCTATCGGGGTTTCCGATGCCTGCGGGTTCGGGCAACCAAAACTCTTTTGAATCTGAGGAGCTAAGTGATGATACTCACTGGGGAGCTCCAATGCCAGGATCGAGTAAGACAACTTCCCCCCTCCCGCTTGTCAACCTATAGCTCGCTGACATGGTGGATTGTCTAGCTCATGAACGGAACCTCACAGTCGAGCAGTTCATTCGGCAATGGCTCGCTCGAACCTCCATCAGCTCGCTGAAAAGTTTGATGCGACTTCAGGTTCCTCGCCCGTCACTCGAGGCAACAAACGTTGCGAATTGGATTCGTCCGGAGAAGATTGTTCGCCCTCCAGACTACCCACATGACTTTTACGACATTCAACAAATCCCCTGGCGGGAGAAGTTGCAAGTTGATCGGGCCGATGCGCGGGCGTTACGTGACGCGTGGTATACGTCGTATCATAATCTGGAATACACGCCGCGGGGGGTTCGTACCCATGACCATTTCGTACCCATGACCATAATCCTTCTGACCATGCTAACCTGGACGTATGCTAGTTCGAAAACAAACTCCCTCGTGAAGAATTCTATTTTCGAGAAGAGGCCATGTACACGCGATGTCGAGCCACGATCGAGCATTTTCAACTTCGAAACTTGATGTCCGTCACGTCACATAATACCGTCCAGTTTTCTCACGAATCGAAACTGTATTCGTGGATTCCGGCCTATAACCATCTGACGTGTCTGATCGACCTATCGAGACCGTCACCAGAAACGGGGTTCCAAGGTCCGGTGAAGGTCTCCACCATGAAGTCCAGATTCGGCGTTTCTATTGCCGGTGGATTCTGCGGGGAGTATTGCATGCATGTGGAGGGCACGCAAGAGCCAAACGTCCAAGGCTTCGTCACGAGAGATTTCAACGGGATCACAAACCATATTGAAATCATCCGGCACCGCACAAATCGATCTCCAATGGCGGTCTTTGCATCGAATGACAAACACATTCGCATCCTGGACTGCGAGACCAACACTTTTGTCGCGGAGCACGCTCTGTCTCGTGCCATCAACTGTTCGGACACCTCCCCCGATGGCCGGCTTCGCGTCGTTATTGGCGACTCTCCCGACGCATGGGTCATCGAGGCGGAGACAGGCCGGCCGATCCAGCCGCTGCGGGGCCATAGAGATTTCGGGTTTGCGTGTGCCTGGTCTCCGGATATGCTGCACATTGCGACGAGCAACCAGGACAAGACGGTGAACATCTGGGATGTGCGGACGTGGCGTATTCTAGAGACGATCGATTCCGATGTGGCAGGCTACCGGTCTTTGCGGTTCTCGCCGGTTGGCGGGGGCCCTCGTACGCTTCTCATGTGCGAGCCAGCGGACCGGATCTCCATCGTCAACGCCCAGACGTATCAGACTCGGCAGGTCCATGACTTTTTCGGGGAGATTGGCGGCGCCGACTACACGCCTGATGGCAGCTCGATCTGGGTTGCCAACACGGATGAGGTGTTTGGAGGGTTCATGGAGTTTGAACGGCGGCAGTGGGGTCAGCAGTTTGGCTTACCATTTGCCGCGACAGTGGCTGCCAAGCGGCCGTTGGACGAGGGGCGGCCTGTCTATAGTCGGGATTTGCCTCACGAGTGGATGAGTGAGGCTGCGTTGGAAGAGGACGAGCGCTGTGTTCTCAGTGCGTCTGAAAGACGGCTCCGATTTCTTCGAGGTCTTAGCGACGAGGCGCATGATAATCTTCTCCTTTAGCTTGGATTCTCCGGAGACTTGGATGGAGACTTTGATTCTCTGGAGACTTTGATTCTCCTGTGTCTAATATTTCGGATATCCATTCACTGGGCGTTTTGGTTTTTCAATGGTTCGGAGTGTCACTTGCATATCATTTGCATAAGACTCCTTTTGTGGTTCAGCTGGCGAGAGCCTCAGCCTAGGATCTCTTAGGAAAAGCCATGTGCAGTCTGCGTAACTTCGCAGCAAATTAATTCAGGAATAGATAATTCGACTGTACTACTCGAAGCCAAATATATACTCTATTGGAGGATATTAAGTTGAAAGTTGCCTTTAGCAGGCAGACATAGAATTTAATTACCTTTCCAGCATACTTTGATTACCTTCTCCTCTACAATATATACTTCATACACTGCTACTGCTACTTACGGTAACTAAATTACCGTGTATGTATGTACAGTACAGTACTTAATTTTCACCAGCGGTCCTGGGACGGGACGGGACGGGACTAGGTATTTATTATTTAAGGGGCATCACCCCTGTCATATGCTGATTACCTTCGACATTACCTAGGTAGCATTGCAATTACAATTGCAAACAAAACAAAACAAAACAAAACAACTACAGTTCTGCAGAAGACTTGCTGAGTGAGTTCGTTTATTTCCATAACTTAAGTGCATCTGTCTGACTCTTATTTATATAAATATTTACATGATCGACTTCCTTTTGCAAAGACTTCTACTCTGTAGAGCTGGTGGTTCCGGCAACAGCAACAGCGCTGTATACAGTTCGAAGGTCACGAACCTTGACTCCCTTTTTTTAATACTGGGCATTGTTGTTGTTGTGATTTCTATTTCTATATAAGAGGACAAAAAAAACAAGCCCTACATACAGTACACTCATTACATGTATGTATACACATACACGGATTAGCCTTACCAGGTACAGTACAGTCTTTTGTTTTATTTATTTTATTTTTTTTTAAAAAACATTAATTTATGTATGCTAGTTATTAGTCGATTTGATTTGTCTGCACAATCAATCCTGATAAATCTGCAAATGTGTCTGTGTATCTGTGTGTTGTGTTGTGTCTGCCTGAAACTGATGTCCTCAGGAGGAGGAAGAAGGAGGTCTTATTTATATACAAGAGGAAAGAAGGAGAGTTCTCTTGTGTATAAATGTAGGTGCATATGTGTAGATATGTACAGTATGTAGATACATATATCCATACAGGACCACCGTTCTGATTCCGATGGCTTCGCTGAGTCCGCCAAACAGGGATATGCGTGATATCTTCACTACGTTCTTTAATGCTGGTGGGTGGTCGACGAAGGGATTGTCTGTCTGTGTTGGTTTACGGGGGTTTGCGGTCGTGTTCCTTGGTAGGTATTATTTATTCACCCTTGACCTACTTGCCCTGACGCTTCGCTGACACTAGCCAGGCGCTGATGGTGCCATCCATGTAAGAATAACTTTGAGAAGAACACCCTTCAATCCTCTACAGTATATGTATGATCGCTAACCTTCCCTAGGTGGCCGAAGAAGTAGGAAACAGCACCCTAAACGTCCCCCGCTCACTAATCGTCTCCATCCCTCTCAACGGATGCCTCGGATTCGCAATTCTGATCGTCTTCCTGCTCTGCGCTGACGATCTGCAGGCCGTTCTCGAGAGCGGGTCAGCGTTCCCATTCATCGAGATTATAGTCAAAACGCCTAGGCAGCACCGGCGCAGCGACGACACTTGCAACCCGGGTCACTATCCTAAATCTGTGCTCTTGTCTGGCTATATTGTCTGCTGGGGGCCGGATGATTTTGTCTTTTTCAAGAGACCAGGTTGTGCCGGGCTGGCGACAGCTTCTGAAGGTAAGTAAAGCTTCCCGCCGTTCAACCATAAGGTATATGCCGCCCTGATTGTTCTTCCAGGTCAACCGGCGTACATCGATCCCGACTAACTCCACCTATCTTCTCGTCGTCATCGGTGTGCTTCTCTCATTGATCAATATGGGAACCTCGACAATCCTGAATAACATCTTATCGCTGGGCCTTGAGGCGCTCTATTTCTCCTACCTGATGGCTCTTTCTCTCCTCCTCTATCGCCGGTGGAGAGGACAGATCGCAGAGCCACGGGACGTCGCCGCCAATAAACCCGCCAAAGACACTCGTACTCCATATATTTGGGGCCCCTATCGAGTAAAAGGCTGGCTGGGGATTGCTAATAACATCTTCGCCATCATGTATTCCGTCCTACTATTTTCTTTGGTTTCTGGCCGGAAGTGTCCCCGACGACAGCCAGTAATATGAAGTGGAGCGTGGTGGAGATTAGCGTCGTTGCAATCGGAAGCATCGTGTATTATATTGGCTGGGCACGGAGGCAGTATCAGGGTCCGATCGTGGAGGTCGAAGTTGCTAACTGATGGAAATGATATCTGGAAGCGCGTCGATAGTAATGCTGGGTAAGGCCTTTTTTTTTGATAAGTTCAATAAGCTCGCTCTTTGAGGTTATCGTCGCGATGAACGATAGATAGTCTTTAGACGCGTATTAATGGCGCCAGATTGACCAAGTTGACTGGTGAGAGTGCCTTCGCATCGATTGTGGCGTTGGAAAGTGGAGTGTGTAGGCGAAGGCGCTGGAAAACATCAGTATGATGGGTCGCCAGATGTTACCCTGCATTTTATTTGTGATACAACGGGAGATGTAGTCATTGAGTGGCTGAACGTCATTTTCAATTGCAGCCATGCTGCGTTGAGGTCTTTTCAAATGGCCCTATCCATATACAGCGTATGTACTTGTATGTGTCGATGTCCATCTAGCACAGAGTATCAGTTAACATCCCCCTTGTGATAAATCAAGACCGCATCGCGATACGTCGACCTATCGTCCTCGCCATACTGATACAACGTCTTCTTGGTGAACTTACGCTATTTGATCTTTTTTGACTACACATTTTCCATTTTCAGCAATTTATTTGGCTTCCACACCTTTGAAATCTTTCAGTTCGCCTGCAGCAGCATTGCTGGGTCAACACTGTAGACTTATCAAAACAAGAGAAGAAAGATGACTCAGTCGAGGGCAATGTGATCCATGATGTAGAAGTGTTCGTACACACAAGCGCAATCAACACTAGTTGTTCACTAGCAGAAATGGAAATATGTTCTTTCTTCTCGAGGTCAATTGACATCTGCGTGGTTTGTTTTGCAGAGGTAATTTTCTCCTGCTGTCGTCTGCTGAAAATAGCGAATAACGGAATGGAACGGCAGCTTTTCAGCGCATTCTCGCTGTAGGGCCAGGTCCAAAAGTTTTGTACGACGGAGCGCCTTCAGAGACTTGAAGCACTTGTGTGGAATCAGGGAGGTGATGTAGAAAGGGCTCGTATGTGTATGCTGGACCGAGCAGGGTTTTGCTTCGAGCGGAACACCGGATAATACAGTTGGTTTTTCCATTGACCATGATCCAGATTGTAGGCTCTTGGGGCACTCGTGACCCACGAACTTAACCCAGGGCGGCGTCTTGTATGTATGTACTGTACATACATGTATGTACAGTTCGAGCCGGACTCTTTTCGTGAACACGAACAGCGATTGATGTTCCGAGAAGGCTGGAAACATTGCGTTATCGCTCGTGCGGACGTGAGAACAATGTACTTGGTAATACATGCTTCTGGCGTTTTTGACCTTCATGGTATGCTGTGCGCAATGGTCACCGCATTTTGCAGTCGTCCTTCACACGTCTTCAATGAGTCGATTGATTCCGTCGTCAATGTCATCCGGCTCGTCGTCTCGTTCTTCGCAGAGGCGTTTCAAGAGCCGTTCTTTTGTCGAGTTGACGTGATGTCGCCGTTCAGTGGTAGAGCTGTATTCCTCTGCTGAACGCTGCCGTTGGATGGGTTGTCTGTCCCATTGAGATGGTCCAGGTTGTTGGACCCGATAACAACGGAGATGAAATCCACCATACGCTCACTGCGCCACGAGGAGCATAGCAGGGTCTTAAAGGCCAGGTATCCAATCCATGCGTCTGTGGTAGCTGAGCCTATATATTGTATGAGGAGCATGGCAGAGTCTTGGAGGTCAGATTCCATCTAGGAGGCTCTAGACGAATAGCACAAGTCGGTGGCAAGAAACCAATAGTCGACCCGGTTGAACTCCGGGTGTTCCTTAGAGCGATGTCTGTTTCTATACCATGCCTTTACCGGTGGAGCCTTCGGCTGCTCTGCAATGTTGGTGAGGACTTTTTGAACTTCAGAGTCCTCATCTGGCTGATAATCAAATGAACTATCCTTGTCTGCCGAAGTAGTCTGGATTGAATCATTATCCGAAGTCCGAAACCGTAAGGTCCAGCTTCTCAATTTCTGCCCTTTTTTTTTCGGCTTCTTCGAATACGGGCTTCGAAACTGGTATTGTACTCGCGGGTGGCATTGGAAAATCTTTCAAAGGCCTCTTCTGCCAGTTGCTGATAGACGTTGGTGGATGCGCCCTGGTATGGCCAGATCAGATTGGGCTTGAGACGGGCTCCTGTCTTGTTGACGATGGAATAGGTGACGCGATGCTGCTGCCGGTCCGTCTTGTCCTCCCTGACTTAGAGAAAGGTGCTTTCTTTTGTAATGTGCTTGTGGTTCTTAGGGGACGTTATCGGTCGGTACCGCAACTGGAACCATGTGAAAGTAGCCTAGTTTTCTGCGGTTCTACTGAGCTAATTTGGGAGGTCTTGGGACGTTGAAAGGCGGGAGGCGATTGGCGTCCAGGAACCATCGGAATTGGAGCTTGATAAAGTGAAAAGACTGTCTGGCGTCATCTATGTTATTATGTGAGTCCCTGAAATGTTCGTCCACAATAGGTACTGGTCGACCCTTGTCGCGAATGTGTAGCGTCTGGGGCTGAACATTGAGGTATATCCAGAAGAGGATGGTATTTGCGTTTCGACGGTGTCTCCGTATGAATGGCCTTGTCTACCAGCTCGGACAAAGTCTTCAGATCGTCTTGAGAATGCGTGTTCAGGTTGTCGATGAATCCTTCTGTGATTGCATGTGTTTAATGAACAGTGTTTTTTTTTTCTGCTTTCTGCCCTTTTTGATTTGTAGATGATACCACGTCAATGTCTCACCCGCGAAAGGGCCAGCATTGACAGCCAGCCGTCTCTCACCGGCAGCGCCTGTTTTTGAAAATTCTGTCGACGGTTCTCGTTGAACCGGCTGGCTATCGTACGCCGCAGATGGCCCCGTTAGAGGTGAAGTCGGCTGGCCAGAGATTGCCTCGGTCCTGCTTCGTAAAGGTTTTGATGATGACGTACAGCCAAGCATCTGATAGCTCGGTGTAAGGAGGTGGAAAAGAAACCGGCCGATGGAACCCGAAGGGATTCAACGAGGAAAAAGGCATTAAAGGCCGCTCTGTCAGGATGACCTGGCTTTGTGGTCATCGGTTCGGGGGCCCGTCTCCGTTGTTCCAGGTGAGTGTGCTGAAATCCGTAAGGTCGGAGCCAGGCAGATCGATCATTCTTGAAGGTTATCGCTGTTTGCTTGATGTGGTCTAGCAGCCTGTTCTGCCTCTTCCGGTTGAAGAGAGTGGTTTTCGAGGAGAGGCAGGAAAAAAACAATCCCCGCCCGCATAATTGATGCCTCGTTGTATTATCTTTATCTTTTTGTTTTTCTCTTTTCTTTTCTTTGTTCTATTCTTTCTTTTTCCTTTTTTCTTTTTTTCTTTCCTGATTCGGAATTTGGGATACGCGTTAGCATTACTCGATTCGGAAATAGATTCTGAGGAAAAAAGATCATCTTCAAATACGACGTCGCTTGTCTGGAAGACGGCGTCCTTCTCTGCGTCCCAAATGCGATAATCGAGTTGCCAATGAATCAAAGAACGTTTTTTTTTTCGCTTCTAGGCGACAGCTTCGTTTTGGGCTTGAGTTTTCTCATATCAGGTTGATTGATCTTGAAGTGTTGAAAACTGATCTTTTCCAAGAGCTTTGGTAACAAAGACCATTAGTTAACGTCCTGCTCTGTAGGAGTATTGAATATAATCGAATCGAACAGAGCAGAATGTTACCACCGTCTTCTTTCTAATGCAGGGCAATTTAATTTGCCTTGTTCTCGCGTGATATTGCGGATATTTTTTTTTCCCTCTTCAGATGGCTCCTTGGTTACCGCCATTGGTGATGGTTCATTTTGAGAGAACATCTTGTCGGTACTCTGGAGTATGTACAGCACAAAAAAAGAATGTCGGGTGCTCGAGGTATGCTTCCTTAGCTGCTAGAGCCTGTGTAATGTATTCTGATTAGATCGAATACGAATGCTCGTTGCAAGTGCGAAGGCGTAGCCTGATGTTAATTAGAATATTTCTGATTGAACGCTGGCTCAGTCTGCGTAGGCGTTTGTTTGCGTCGGAGTTGTTTTTAGCGTCCATCTGCGAGAATTGGCGTGTGTGCCTACAGCACGACCGTGACAAGGTTGTTGTATCGCCGAATGCCGATGATGACGTGCGGAAGATCAAGGAACATGCCCGCGATAAAGACAATTGTTGTTCGTTCCTCTGGTGTATTCTGCCTGAAAAGCACACCGCGAAGGGCCACCGCGATCAAACTCTCCATTAAAGACAAACATGTCAATTGTGAGGATATATCCTGATTGGAGGCTGATATCCTAGGCCTAATTCTTCTGGATAGTGGAAGAGATTGAGAGGTAGCGGGCGAAGACTCGTCAAGCTGAGGTGACGCTGAGGTGACTACCTGGCCGTTAACCGGAGAATATCCGTCCAGCTCGGACGAGAAAGCATCTCCTGTGTAGATGGAGCGAGTATGCTTAGAGTTCATCTCTCTTGGCCAGTGGGATTGGTCATCGAAGTATGATCAGGCGAGACGAGATCGCCTGAAACACTGTAGCCGGACACAGCCGTCGTGTAACTAAGTTTCGCCGTTCAAAGTTGTTGGAACAATCTGGCTGACTTCTCGCTTGACTTATGTCCG